TCCCTCTTGCGTTTCTCGCGATCGTCCGCAGCGGCTGAGGATCGTTTCTTCAATTTCGTCAGTGACTTTGAACCCCCCGACCGTGAAGGGGGGCTGAGATTTAATCAACGTCCCCCCTTCCCAAGGCTCGTATAAATTTCCTAATGGACAGCAGCGCGGGGGAAGGCGATTTCAGCGCCGTGCATAAAATCAGTCGTTTTCGATGAACGATATCTCTCTCGCTTTACCCCCGGTGCGATTTTATGCTTTATGAAACACTCCGCGCCGGCGAAATTTATTTCTCGCGCTCGAATTCCGCCCCCCGAGAAACGTACCTGCGCGAATGATCGCGACGATGAACGCTCAAAGTGAAATTGAGCGCGTCTAGGAACATTCTAACGCTGGAAATTTCCACTCTGAAACGCGTTTGAGAATTTTCTGGTATTTTGATGTTTCACTCGGTTCCAAAGATACTCCTACGACCGTGTGATTGCAGAATTTTATGTTAATATAGAGTTGTGGATCAAATTTAGGGGACAGGTAGGGAAAATAGGTATGAATTATATTTAATACTATAACTACTGTAACTATTATGCATTTAAGTGTTAGTGAGAGATTCTGGAGGCCAAAATAAGACGAAAATCGAGGATACTAATTTGTTGATTGAGGCTTCGTTATAAAGTTATTAAAAAATTAAAATCGAAAAATTTCAAATCATTCTGGAAAAATTGTCTTTAGTTGCGGGGGTCGATTACGATCATTTTCGGTGAAGAGACATATCCCCGAAATTTTACGCATTTTCGAGAAAAAAATTCAGGAAGTAGAGCAATTTTTCGGGAAAATTAAAAAGTTTTGAATCATTCTGGAAAAAATATTTTTAGTTGCGGGGGTCGATTACAATCATTTTCGGTGAATAGACATACACCCGAAATCTTACGCACTTTTGAGAAAAAAATTCAGTAAGTAGAGCAATTTTTTGGGAAAATTAAAAAGTTTTGAATCATTCTGGAAAAAATATTTTTAGTTGCGGGGGTCGATTGCAATCATTTTTGGTCATTACACATACCCCCGAAATGCTCCGCATTTTCGAGAAAAAAATTCTTTACAGAAAATGTCTGACCATAGCATTGATATGTTTCACTGAAATTTCAAGCAAATCTTTAAAATGTCATAACTCCTGAACGGATTGGACGATTTTAATGTTTAAAAAAGCAAACTACGCGTATTTTAGTGGAGAATATGTACAAATCACAAAAATAGTCGAAAAGTTGCTCCTTAACCCCGTAAAATTACAAAAACCCCATAAAAATGGTCCAATTTTCAAACAGTCATAATTCCTACAATAGTGAATATATTTTAATGAAACTTTTTTCTGAAGTAGAGCCCATGGGTACCTACAAAAAAGTATTAGACAACTTTTCTGTAGAGCGCCAAACAAAATTACTAAAAATGAAAAACTAATTTCTAAGAAAAATCGACAGGGGGTAGGTGCCTATATTTTTCGACAAAATTGAAAAGTTTCAAATCACTCTGGAAAAATTATTTTCTGTTGGGGGGGTTAATTGCAATCATTTTTGGTCAATAGACATACCCCCAAAATCCTAACCATTTTCGAGAAAAAAATTCGAGAAGGTGTGACATTTCTCGACAAAAATTCAAAAATTTCAAATCATTCTGAAAAAATTATTTTTAGCTAGGGGGATTAATTGCAATCATTTTTGGTCAATAGACACACCCCAAAAATCCTAACCATTTTCGAGAAAAAAAATACTTTACCGAAAATATACCGTGTGGCCAGAAATGTTTCTATAACTTTTTAACGAAGCCTCAAACAACAAATCAGTATCCTTGATTTTCGTCTTATTTTGGCCTCTAGAATCTCCCATTAAGTTATTGTATAGTAACAAAAAAGTACAGTTTCTATACAAAATATTTATTACATTAGTATTCTTTTTCTTATGATTTTTTCGTGGTATTATGGCACTTTGAATTAGGAAATAACTATGTATCATTTAACCTCTTAAAAAAACATTTTAACAACTTAACGTACTCTCAGAAATTTATGAATTTAAGTATTAAAATGGATCTCTCTTGTGCAATGTGTCGAATTAAATGTGGCTGTAAATTCTGTAGTTTATAAATCTGATAAATATCGCGGAGGGTCCCGAAGTCGCGATATAAATTCAACCGATCGTGTTGGAAAATAGACTGGGGGTATTTCGCAGTGGAGAATGTTAAAAAATAGTCTGACAAATTGTAAACCGTGATAATTAAAAAGTGCGCCGTGCCACTAAAAGTGCAAGATTAAAATGGTATATGTAATGCTCTCTGAATTATGTACCATAAAATATGTCGAAACAAATGTCGTAAATTTTTTAATATATAGATCTGATAAAGCAACGCGAGGGTCCCAAAGTCACGATATAAATTTGCCCGGATCGCGTCGGAGAATAAAGCGAAAATTCTGAAAACAGCCCAAACAATTTTTAACCATAATAATTAACAAAAGTACTTAAATTAAATTAAAAATTCTGGAAGCGTTGTATCGCGAATAATATAACTCAATAAACGTCAGATTAATCCAATTTTCGGTTACAAAAATCATTTATTTTGCAGTTCCTCTTATCACGGACTATCATGTTCGGAAGATAACCATAAATGTATGGTTGGAAACGTTGGGAATAGCTTGTTAAAGTGATACCCAACGCCTTGGTGGAGTCTAACGTACGAAGTTTTAGGATTTACAGCCCCGGATCGTTGAATTTAATTAACTATAACACAAAATTATAAGATTCTACGTAAGAATAATGGGGGGGGACAGTGAAATCGTTAAAAGAACAAGTGCGATTCCAGGGGGGGGGGACTGGAAACTGTCGAACAAGATGTCACCCTCTGTTTGCAGGGGGATGATGGCGTCGAGTGACGGCGTGGAAATCCGTAGGAATGTTTATGAAGTGTATAAAACCAGCGGATGTGGTCTGGCTATGCATAGAGGGACCCGGAGGCAAAGTTATGGGGTTACATTTTCATTTCGCCGACAAATTCTCCCCTAAATCGCGACTACCAACGCTCTGCAGGAATTAATCCTTCAGCCAGCTCCTGAACCCTACTTTATTATCACGAACAAGGGAAAATTGAGTGACAGCCCACAGAAAATTAATAACGTTTGATTTTCTCGAAATAATCATTTTCGTTCAAAAATAAAATAAACGTGTCTTTTGCACGGTGCATATTCGAACAAAACTGAATTTTCCAGCACGTTAGGAGCAATTAAACAGCCAAATTATTGAAACTAATAATTAACAGGCTTCGGAAATCGATAAGGGATCCTGTTCCCCATAGAATTTACAGCAGATTTCCCTTCCACCTGTCGTATTGATTAAGCATTAATTACAAGGATAATTGATATTGAAAATCGAAGCCAGGAAGAGTAACACTAGACGCCTGCACAAAGACTGCGCAGTCGAAGCAAAACCTGCGCTAAATTAGCTCTGTTCCTTCCAGAAAAATAATTGGTATCAATTAAAAAATAACAAAATTAAATCTACAAACAGAGAATAATCATTGAATTCTAGATAATTTTTTTCTATACTTTGTCCGTGCATTGAACATAATCTTAGGGTTTCATTTACGCCAGATGGCTCGTAAGTTCTTTCAGGCACTTATCCGAAGATTCAAGGCTTCGATTTTCAATTATCTCGGTGATTAGCACCTGATTGAACTCTCTGACGAGAACGAACTCGAAATTTAATCGAGACTTCCTCCTTCTGATATAAACTGAACTTGAGACGCTTAGATTAATATTTAAATTGAAGTTTAAAGGCAACATTAAGTAACGTTAACAGTTATTGCAAAGTAAGCAACACGAAATGCTGGAATAAAAGAATTCTAAGTTTCTATTTTAACACTTTACCGACCGGTAACGGTTGATAAATCGGCTATCGGTCGGTAAGCGTTGGCCGGTAAAACAGTTGATTGATAGGCTCTCAGCCGGTAAGCGTTGGTCGGTAAAACAGTCGATTAATAGGCTATCGGTCGGTAATGTGTTAAAAGGCGAATTTGAATTGATAGTAATGTTCAAAGTGTTACGTTCAGCCTTCTCTGAATTTAGGATAGCATATTCTATGAATCTCCTCACATGAAACACACATGGTAATTCTCGAATCGAAGTTCAATGGAAAGGGTTACTTCTTTTCTTTCACTCCATTAGGTGAAAGCTTCCCAAACGGATCGAACGCCCCCATATTACGCATTCATGAAGATTATGCGAATTTCAGGCACGTCCTGCGTGGGAAATTAGCTCGAGATTCACAAGAAAAATTCTTCAAAATTTTATTTGTGTCTTGAAGGTCTGGGTTACGTCTGGTTTAGGTCTAGATTAGATCTGGGTTAGGTCTGGATTAGATCTGGGTTAGATCTGGATTAGATCTAGATTAGATCTGGGTTAGGTCTGGATTAGATCTGGGTTAGGTCTGGGTTAGGTCTGGATTAGGTCTAGATTAGATCTGGGTTAGGTCTGGGTTAGGTCTAGATTAGATCTGGGTTAGGTCTGGATTAGATCTAGATTAGATCTGGGTTAGGTCTAGGTTAGGTCTGGTTTAGATCTGGGTTAGGTCTGGATTAAATCTAAATTAAGTCTGGGTTAGGTCTGGGTTAGGTCTGGATTAGATTTAGATTAGATCTGGGTTAGGTCTGTGTTAGGTCTGTGTTAGGTCTGGGTTAGGTCTGGTTTAGGTCTAGATTAGATCTGGGTTAGGTTTGGATTAGATCTAGATTAGATCTAGGTTAGGTCTGGGTTAGATCTAAATTAGATCTGGGTTAGGTCTGGATTAGATCTAGATTAGATCGGGATTAGATCTAGATTAGATCTAGATTAGATCTGGGTTCTCGAGTCGAATGAGAAAAACACTGTATTACAAATAACTTAGACCTTCCGATGTTCTTTGTAACTTTTAATATCCAACATGTACGTTCAGAGCAAGAATACGACAGTAAGTTTTCAAGAAATGTTTTTTGTAAGTGACAGGGTGCAACGAGATCGTCCACGTTGAAAGAAGCTACCGTGAAATCTAATATTCCTCCCTTAACAAAGTTCATTGCACAGCGTGGGGCCACGACAGACAACAGACGCTTCATTAAAACCGAAGAAGAAAACTCGGTGCAAATACTTTGCCAGAAGAAGGTAACATTTCGATGATAATGCACTCCTCGCGTGCTTTTGATAAAGCGTCTGAGACTGGATGCTGGGGGAAAAGAAAGAAAAGCGTAACGAGGAAGAGTACAGGGCGGTGAAATAAAATTACATACATAAAAGGTAACGTAAAAGGTACTCTTGACAAGACGTGTACACTATATCCTCTATGGCGTGCTAAAAATAACTAACAAATTTATGCAATCGATTAAAACTAATATTCAAAAACTTCTAATATATTGTACCCACACGTGACTGTTACTTTTCATTCTAAGATTAAAATGGACATTCGTGCTCGTAGAAATAACGAACAAAAAACTAATTTCCCAGCGTTTACAATTAGTTTGTTACGCCAAGAGGAATCATCGAACCACGTATACGGTTTCGAGAACAAGCAAACGCTTACGTTGCATTGAACGAGTTGATCTGGTTGCATCACGAGTTCGCGAATAGCGTCACGAACGTGATAACCCCAGACGACCCAGGCTATTTAACGCCCGTCGAAACATTGACATCGCGCTTTATAGAAATCGCGAACGAGCAAGCTGATGGGTTGCAGAAGAACCGTAGACAAGGTCGAACGCAATGCAAACAGTAATTTCCATCAACCGCGGTAAGTGGACCGCGCAATGATCACGTGAACGTTCCCCACTTTATGGTGGCATTTTGCACGCGTTAGCAACGTCCGTTATTAAATTTCTATTGCTCGTGCTGTTTCCTCCGGGTGCATCCGCCATTATTCACCCCGTTTTAGTTAACTATGCATAATATATACGCTGTCCCCGTGCATGATGGGTCCCGAGCATTTAGGATGCAGTTAAATATGATTAAGCTTGTTAACTCAACATCGACAAACATCTTATTTACTCAAAACTATAACTTTCTGACATTTCTATTCAAACCTTCTCTTTCAAATTAAAGGAAAATCTTTTCGAGTTAATATAGTAGCTATTTATTTTTACATTTTGTCTGTTTAAATGCGAACGTATAAATGGACGATATAACGAGCAATCGAGAACAGAAATAGAGGTTAGGCAGTTTAGAATAGCAATGTTACTAGAATACATTTCAGTCCACAAGTAAAACATTCGTAACAATTTATTTATTTCTATCGTCGAGGATGCACCGTATGTTAACACTTTACCGACCGGTAGCGGTTGATTAATCGGCTATCGGTCGGTAAACGTCGACCGATAAAACAGTTGATTAATAGGCTATCGGTCGGTAAGCGTTGGCCGGTAAAACAGTCGATTAACAGGCTATCGGTCGGTAAAGTGTTAACAAGAAATGATCATCGTTCGTACAAAGATGGGAAACTAAAGCAAAACGTTCAACAATCCATCACTCACGATCATCGAATGTTTCCCCAAAACTTATTTAATTGAACTTTCCATAATGCAAGTTAAAACAATTCTACGCTCATCTACTTCAGGGATTCCATTAAACTCGAGCCAAAGTTCCACAGCTTTTGATACAATAACAATTAGCTTTACTGTTTAAAACTTCAGCAGAATTTCAAGAAGATTCTAAATGTAGAATTATTCGAACTCAAAAGCCTTTCCAAAGGGATTTTCCATTGCTTCTTGCTCACAAACAGTTATCACTAATAAATCCTATACTTGAAAACCACTGAAAAATGTACACTTATGGAAGAAAACGTTTTAATGTCCAACGCGCGTGTTCGAGTTCGTTAAATTGTCTTTGGTCTTCTTGTCGAACGATCGTTCGATCTCCTGCAACGTTTTGTCCTTGGTTTCCGGTAGCGTCAGGTACAAGATGCAAGTCCCGAGCAACGCGACGACGCCATAAATCGCGAAAGTTCCCTGCTGCTGCAACGACGCGAACATCCCCGGGGCAATTTTCACGACCGCGAAGTTGCAGATGAAGGCGAAGCCAGACGCGAGCCCTGCCCCGAGACCTTTGAATTTCCTAGGGAAGAGCTCGCCGGTGAGCATCCACGGCAGAGGCAACAGCCCCATCGTCGAGAACACCACGTAAAGTAGCAGAGAAATGACGGGGAACCAGGGCGTTCCGACTCGAAGGAACCGAGAAAGGCTGAGGAGGAACATGGCGGCGGCTGAACCGAATCCAGACACGAGGCTCATAGTCCTTCTGTCCCTCTTCTTCATCAAGTAACAGGTTACGATACTGGTAACCAAACGGACCACGTCCAGCACCAGGGTGCCCACGTGAGCGTTCTCGGGCGCTGTCACTTCCATCAGCAGATCGACGGAATAGTAAATCACGACGTTGTAACCGGAGAATTGAGCGGTGAAGAAGAACAAGCACAGCAAACCGAGTGGCCACAGAAAGTATCTCGACGTCAGGGTCTTCCTCAGTTTCGAGCACATCGAGCGTTTCTCGAGCCTACGTCCTTGGATCTTGGAGTTCTCCAGCGCTCGATACTCGTCCAGCGACTTCCAGCCGCGAAGATACAGCCAGGCAGCTCGCGCTTGGTCCGTCCGGCCTTTGTTTATCAGCCAAATGGGACTCTCCGTGGAGGCGATGCAGATCAACGAGCTGACGACCGCGAAGGCTATGCAAACGTAGGCGGTGGTCCTCCAATGCAACCAAGTGCCCAGAGCGTGGACGGCTAGGATCCCGAACGACAGAGTGAGGATGATCATGTTCAACAGGATCCCTCGTAGACCCGGACTGGAGGTTTCCCCGATGTAGACGGGCGCCACGGCGCCCAAAGTGCCGCAGCAGAGGCCACACATCATTCGTCCGACCAAAAGACAGGCGATTCCAGGCGCGAAACCGATCATCGCCCATCCGACCAGGAACAGAGGATACGCCAGCATCGTGGACTTCTTCCTGCCTAGCTTTTCTATCATCAATCCAGCCAGCCAGCAACCTGGTGCAGTGGGGAGCACGGCTGACGCAGCGATCCACGAGACTTCCTCGGTGCTGGGCGCCATGATCGTCGATGCATTCTCAGAGCTAGAGTTTCGTTCGTTCGATGAACCCGATGATTTCAATTGGGGCAGAAGCACGGCACTGTAACCGGACGACAGGCCCACTAGGAAGACGCCCAACAGAGGACCCAGGGCTGTCAACAGTTGTCTGCCGCGAAGCTTCAGTTCGGAATCGTCGGTTCCATCGAAAGTCCTCTCCATCGTTTGTTGCGGCTCGACGGTGCACTCTCGACTATCGAATCGTCGCTGACATGTTCAACGAATTCCGTATTCATTGCGTGACAATTGTCTCACGGAAAGTTTCGAGCTGAGCGGACATCGTGCATCAATCCTCGCAAATGAACGCTATCAATGCCCCGGGGATCAATTCGGAGTTTAAACGATCGTTGAAAGTATCTCGAGATAACTGACAGCGTTATTCGACGAGTTTTTAGAAAGAATCGAACGCGACAAGTGAGGACGATCCCAGGCAGATACATCCTCTTTAAAGGATTCCCCTCCAACTGTTCCGGGGCACGGATAACCAATCAGGACTAGCCTGACACCGCGACCAAACAATTGAGCCAAGTGCTTTTACGTAACTCTGCACAATGAGAACAAATTATACGGGGTCAGAGTGAAATCTATTTCCAAGTTATTTGCTGAGAATCTATACTCGACGATTCGGTTTACCCGACGAAAGAACCATAACGTCACGTCCAGGAAATTGGTTTCATTAACACTTTACCGACTGGTAGCGGTCGATTAACACTAGATTGCCCAAGGAAGTCATTTTGACTGCTTTTTAATTTCAATTAGAAAAACAATTATGTATATAATGACACAATTTCTTAGAATTTTGTGACTTTTTGCACAACATATAAATACGTTTATTAATAATTGTAGTTACCTCCTCCTTCATTTCCGGTATATGTGTTATACCTATATTGGTCAAAAGCAGTCATTTTGACTGCTTGGGAAATTTTAAATAATCAAATGACTCTTATTATTGAATTGAGTAAATTTCTTATAGGACAAGTTCGACTCTGTATTGAAATAACAGTTTTCATTTTTTTTTGATTACCAACACATGATAACATACAAGTACATGATAAATTGTCGATTTGGGCTTACCTAACCCAGACCTAACCCAGACCTAACCGAGACATAACCCAGACCTAACCCAGACCGTAGATCTGGGTTAGGTCTGGATTAGATCTGAGTTAGATCTGAGTTAGGTCTGGGTTAGGTCTGTATTAGATCTGAGTTAGCTCTGGGTTAGGTCTGGATTAGATCTGAATTAGATCTGGGTTAGGTCTGGGTTAGGTCTGGATTAGATCTGGGTTAGGTCTGGGTTAGATCTGAGTTAGGTCTGGGTTAGGTCTGGATTAGATCTGAGTTAGCTCTGGGTTAGGTCTGGATTAGATCTGAATTAGATCTGGGTTAGGTCTGGTTTAGGTCTGGGTTAGGTCTGGGTTAGGTCTGGATTAGTTAATAATCCAAATTATCTGAACTCTTTGCACTCCTATGTCGAGTGTGATTCGATATCAATTTTGATCTCAGGAGCACCTTCGTCAAGTCTCACTCGACATTCTTTCTAGTCCAAACCAAACAGATATCATACACTTGGAAATTACAAAATACAACAACAGTGTAAATGAGACCTAACCCAGATCTAATCCAGACCTAACCCAGATCTAATCCAGACCTAACTCAGACCTAACTCAGTTCTAATCCAGACCTAACCCAGACCTAACCCAGACCTAACCGAGATATAACCCAAACCTAACCCAGACCTAACCCAGATCTAATCCAGACCTAACCCAGACCTAACCGAGACATAACCCAGACCTAACCCAGACCCTAGATCTGGGTTAGGTCTGGATTAGATCTGAGTTAGCTCTGGGTTAGGTCTGGATTAGATCTGAATTAGATCTGGGTTAGGTCTGGTATAGGTCTGGGTTAGGTCTGGGTTAGGTCTGGATTAGTTAATAATCCAATAATAGGGTATCGGTCGGTAAAGTGTTAAGAACGTACCTATGTCATAGAAATAAACGGTTTCTAAACAAATATTTCGTTTCAGGTAATTTCGAAGGAATTGCAAAATTTTTTTTTTATGAATAATTATTGCTTTTATTGGCCAGTTCGGAGCAGGAAAGAAGAGACTAAACAATTCTGAGTTTGCTTCTTAAAAGTTCAGCGACACTGAACTCTGCAGTCTCGCGACGCTTCTTTGTGGTCACGCAACTGCGTTTTCCACGAGCCCTAAATGTTTAAATAAAAGCCAATTGGTTATACAATCCCTGTCACGGTCTCGTGGAAGCAATAAAATAGCTAAAAATGATGCTTGAGTGTTTGTAAATTCCGAAACGCCCAGTAGTTGAACTGATGGAAAGGGGAAAAAGGAGGTCGAAACGAGAAACGAAGAGGGAATCGAGAGATCAATTTCGCCCCGACTTCTCGGTCGTTTTCGTAGTTCAGAAGCCGTTTAAAATTCCCTGGCCCGCGATCGAGGAGCCAATAAAAATCAAGAAATCAGCTCGGTAAACAGGAAACCCGACGGATTTCTCTCGATTCCATTACGAGCCTTCCGAGTCTCTTTGATGCACGGCAAATATGCCGTGGCACCGTGTGTACCTTCCTTTCTATCCACCCCGACTCCCTCCACCTCTTTCTCGTCCTCTCTCGCGGAGAAACACGCCTTTTAATGCGGAAGACCCTCCAAAGTCTCGTTACCATGCGAGGCTCTCTCCGTGCTCGCGCGACAAAGAGGTCTTTCCAACAGTGCGCAGCCTTTATGAGAGCACACGAGGAGAATCACGGAGGAGCCTAGGTTCTCCTGGGTGTGTTTCGACGTGCTTGAAAAGACCAGGATAAAGTATGCCAGGGAACTAGCTTCTTCTCTCGTTCGGGGTGGCGTCCTTGCAACTACACAGGACTCGAGATAATAAACTTTGGACGATACTCCTTGCTTGCAAGTAACAATCGTCACCATGGGCCAGTCACTTGGACCATGTTTGTTCGTCTCATTCAAAAGGAGAAAGTTCTGTTTCATTTCCAAGAGATACAAGTCAAGATGGAGTATGTTCCTTTCTTGGCTTATTTAGACAATAGGTCTGTGGGCAAGTGTTTCACATAAAGAGTTTAGATTAAGAAGCATTTCATTTCAATTCCATCACCTAATTCCAATAGAATAAATTCCAAGAAAGTCTCTAAGCTTCTAACGAGTTTTAGACTCGACTCTGAACGAAACGACAAGATTTTTGCATGGAACGAGCAACTCGTTGTTGTCCTAAGCGAGTAATTTAATAAACCACGGGCGTTGTATCCACAGAGAAACCGTCGATAGCTGGAAATCTCGTTAGACCGCTAATAACGTATCCCATAACTCTCGTCCTCGCGAGCATAATACGCGTCGCTTTATTAGCTCACCCCGGGGGGAAAGAGGGGTGGTAACGCAAACTTCTGCTCGACCCGCTGACAAAGGGTGCGTGAAAGTGGCTGCACGGGATACTTAAGCGCGCGAACCAGGTGAAATCTCGCGGCGAGGGGGAAGATTGATACGGCTGGTATACAACGTGGAAAAACAACGTGGGATGCGTTTGTTCGTGGCTGCGGGGCGATGATGGAGGACACGGGGAAGGGAAAGTTTCGCGAACGAGCAAATGACGCGAGCGTAAAAGCGCGTATTTTACAAGGTGATTCCGGGACAGGTTGTTGACCTTTTCGGGAGTGCAATCCACTCGACTCGCAAAATAAGGGCTGGCGCGTTCACGAGCGCGGAAAGTTTGCTTCTCAAAGTTCCTGGACACTCGAGAACACTTTTTCTCGCAAACGGGGAACAACAAAGATCCAAGTTTTCGTTCGATGCAACGAATTTTAAATCGAATTAAACAGTGTGCTCTTCGCGATTCTTAATAAACGAACGCGCAAGATTAACGACCGTTTCGACGTGGCGTCTTGCGAGCACTCTGCGTGACCTTTTAAAAATCTATAGAATAAGGCAAGGAAGCGTTGGTGAATGCAGGATCTTTTTCAAAGTGAGTAGAATACGCTTTCAAAATTTCGAGTCGGCCTATACAGGGAGGGAAAGCTTTTCATAGAGAAAGCCGTCCTCCTCGACGATTGAACGCGTCGCTTTTTGCCACGGTACGGCTATATCCCCGTAGAAGCACCATGGAAAAGCGCGGATGGAATGGGGGAACGGTGTAAAGTTGATGTATGAGACAGGTTGATCAATAGAAGTCTTCGTAACAAACTGTACAAAGGTCCAAGAGTGTGGGAGAGGCGGTGACGAGTTGAGAAATGCGCGCGCTTAGATTCGAGATTGGCTTGTATTACAATGGCTTTGTACCGTGCAATCTCGACGACGCTTTCTTAGCGGGAAAAGCAGAGGGCGAGATGAAAATATTGATACGCGACGGTATTAGTTGGTTTCGTTTCATAAATTTTTTATTATCAAAACGTCGTCGGGCAAAAACTCGACACGCTATCCTGTGGGAAAAAATTCGGGGATCACGATGCCGTCGCTAAAATCGTGGGTCGTCGTGCTCGTTTCCGAGAAACAAAAAAAAAAATTCTCAAAATTCAAGGAAAAAAAACAACAACCACTCCACCGCGTAGAGGACGTGAAACTGCACAAGTTTCGTATAAACGAAAATACGCGTTGTCGTGGTCGTTTTCGAGTTAATGGCGAAAAACGGCCGAGAGCGATCGGTCCGAGGGTAAATATCGTCGTGGAGCAAAAACTCGACACGCTATCCTGTGGGAAAAAATTCGGGGATCACGATGACGTCGTTAGAATCGTACGTCGACGTGCTCGTTTCCGAGAAACAAAAAAAAAAATTCTCAAAATTCAAGGGAAAAAAAAAACAACCACCCCACCGTATAGAGGGCGTGAAACTGCGCAAGTTTCGTATAAACGAAAATACGCGTTGTCGTGATCGTTTTCGAGTTAATGGCGAAAAACGGCCGAGAGCGATCGGTCCGAGGGTAAATATCGTCGTGGAGCAAAAACTCGACACGCTATCCTGTGGGAAAAAATTCGGGGATCACGATGCCGTCGCTAAAATCGTGGGTCGTCGTGCTCGTTTCCAAGAAACAAAAAAAAAAATTCTCAAAATTCAAGGAAAAAAAACAACAACCACCCCACCGTATAGAGGGCGTGAAACTGCGCAAGTTTCGTATAAACGAAAATACGCGTTGTCGTGATCGTTTTCGAGTTAATGGCGAAAAACGACCGAGAGCGATCGGTTCGAGGGTAAATATCGTCGTGGAGCAAAAACTCGACACGCTATCCTGTGGGAAAAAATTCGGGGATCACGATGCCGTCGTTAGAATCGTGGGTCGACGTGCCCGTTTTGGAGAAACATAAAAAAAATTTGCAATATTTCGAGGTGAATATAAAAAAAAAAGTCTTATCAAACAGTTAATAGAATTTCTTTTACGTGTACATACGTAC